TGATAAGGAAGATAAAAAATATCAATCTTCTGATAATATATAATTGTTGAGCAATATGGCCAAGTTCAACTGTGCTGCTAATTTTTGTTGTTTTTGCATTTGTGTCAACGATTATCTCATTCTCGTTTTGTGATCGAATATGCGAATGGATGCCATCTGAAAATTTTAAGTCTTTCCCAAATTATTGACATCATTACATTTTTCCCGTAATTCTCACGTAATGTTTTACGTTTCTTCTTATGAACCATTAAGGTTACGTGTAAAATGTAATGTATGAAATTGACATGAAGAAGAATATGTCCAATTCTATTTATTCTTGTAACTTTTAAAATTACCATTTTGATTAAATTTGATTATGGTTTTAAATTTTGTTAAAAAAGTATTTCTCCACATTTCCATTATCATTTATTTTCTTTACTTAAATGCTTCGGTGAAAAGAAAAAGTTTTATATTAAAGTTTTATATTAATGTAAAAACATTAAAAGTTAAGCATGAAAACATCTATAGCTAATTTAGCAATTATTGCTTATGTACCACAAATTATCGCTAATTTTTCCTTACCATATCACTTCATACTTTTGCAAAAAATGAAATTCGGCTTTTTAAATGAATTAAAATTTGAATAATTTTAAAAATGAGAATATGTTACGCTTTTTTGATAAATGCCAATTTACAGATCAAACCTTTAAATATTAATCTCTTTTTTTAAAAAAAAAAGAATTTAAATGTTTAAAAAATCAGAAATTTTAAAAAAATTTTTTGTAAAAAAATTTTTTAAAACCATTTTAAATATATAAAACGAAATATTTTAGAACTTCAACCTCTACTTGATATAATGAATACTATCATTTATTCATATTTATAACAATTAAAATAACTTTCCTATTTCAAATAATTTTTATCATCCTTAAATTTTTTCCTACACCAATTATGCTTATCAATTTATATAATATTCCAATAAAAATGATACGTGATAAATTGATGTTATCAGTCAATGCTATATTTTCACCATCAGTAAGTGCAGGATTCATTTGTAATTCTGTTGCTTCAATTGTGGTAGTAGAAGATGGAAATATAGGATTTTGATCCATCACTATGATATTATTATCATATTGTTGTTGCCTTTGATAATCTTGTTGGCTATCATCATAGTCACCAGTTAAAAGCTTAAAATTTACAGGTTATGGAGTTTATTTAAAGCATTTTTAAAAGTTTAAAAAATATTTTATGAGTTTCACTGTAACTGATGGGATATTTTAAATAAAAATATTAATTTTTATTCAATCTTCAAATTCTGATGCAATCACTGCTTGAATTATTGCTCAAATCATGCATTTATACCATTGTAAATTATGTAAAATTCAATAAATAAATGATTCAATGATTAACACATAATTAAACTTAGTATAAACTTTATTAATAATAAACTTGGTTACTATCTCTTGGCTAATATTATTTTGAAAAAAAGGGTATTGTTATTTTTAATAATTTTAGCTTAAGTCTACTATCATCATCATCATCATCATCATCATTGTCATCATCAATCATATCATCATCATCATCATCATCATCATCATCATCATCATCATCATCAACATTGTCATCATCGTCATTGATCCATTATTAATTTTAGCCAGCTAACAGGAAGTTTTGTTGAATTTCCAAAATTTCATTAAAATATTTTATAAAATCAACCAAACAGATTGATATTGTTCGATTTAACTAAATAATATGACAACACTAACTTCAAGCAATCTTATATCATCTAAATTTTGTAATAAATTTGCCAATTTTATAAAATTTTATATAAACAATTACTAAATTTGAACTTTGCATTCAATGGTCTCCATCACTTCAATTTAATGACAACTTTTAATTTTCAGTTTAAAAATTTAAAAAAATGTCACGTATATTTGATGCTGTATAAGATATAAAATGATATTTCATTAAATTAATTAACATTTTTGTTAAAAGGTGACAATTGCTACGTTAAGGGGATGAAATTAATAAAAATAAAATGAAAAATTCAATAAATTTATGCAAAAACATTCACAAAAATAATAAAACTTATTTTTGAGGATCGAATGAAAATCCTTCAACTTTGAATGGCCTCATTTGTTTCAATCGCTCAGTTATATCAGTTAACTGAAAAAATTTTCCAATAGATAAGATTAAATATTATCCAATTTGATAATAAAAAAAAAAGAATGAAACACTTTAATTGATTTAATCGTCATAAAAAAAAATTAATTCGAAATAATAAATTAATGAATTAGCCGCAAATGATTAAAATTAATTTCAAATGAAAAAATCTTTTAAAAGCAACTTGATAAGTAATTTGAAATGAAAAACAAAGCTGTAATTAGATCTAAATGAAATTTAAAAATTCCTAATTTTTCAATTTTTTCGAAAATTTTTCAATAATTTTCCAATCATTAAAATGAATGTAAGAAATTGTCTAACCCGAAATGGTAGTTCTAAATTTTCCGGTAAAATATATACCAAATAAGCGCTAATAACGTGTAACATAAATGCTATTCCTGTTAATGATAGATTTAGACCATAAAATAACACTAAAATGTATTAATAGAATTTGTTGTAAAAAAAAAGGTTTAAAATTGAAAATAACTTTTAAATTAAAATTAAAACCAATTAAAATGCAAATAATTTATTTTTGAAGAATGTGATATTAAGAAAGATTGTGAATATTTTTGAGTATATGTAGTTAAAATATGAAAAAAAAAGAATTAAATATTAAATTGTTTTAATTTATTTAAATATTGAAGTGTTTAATTAAAATATTTAATTTGTTAAGCAAAATAAAAATTACTAATGCATATTTTACATGGAAGTAAAAATATCAATTATATACCTATTTTTGGTACACCACCACTTCCTGGTGGTAAATTTTTAATAAATTCCCAACTATACAATCCTTGTAAGAGTATATTCATAACTGCTGTAGCAATTGCTAATGACATTGTATCAATCCAAAAAATGATCAATGTCAAAATACAAGTAATAATCTAAAATAAAATCTTTACAAATAATAATTTTTTTTTTTTATAAAAATAATCCGACAGAATAGCATTGATTAATATTTGTTAGATTAAAGGTCAGAAAATAGCAATTAATTTAAAAAAATTTTATTAAAAAGATGAGATGAACTGATGGAAATATAATCAAATACAAATTATATATTTAACAAAAGCATTTCATTTTCTTAAATTCAAAAACTTATCATCCTCTTAGGTTGCTATATTTATACATAACAAATTCTATGAAACTAAATCAAAAATTAAAATCAAAAATTAAAATCTCTTCCAATTTAATTCAATTCCTCAATGCAATGTGTTATTTTAGGTAAAAAAGGAGAAATATCCCAAATATCATATTTTTATCAACTTTTATTTCTTATAATTTATGAATTATTTGATGTAAATTATTAACTTACAGTTGGTAAGATAATTGTTAGACCAAAATACGGTACATTACGCTTAATTCGAACACCAAATTCGATCAGTGACCAGAACCATTCTGGCTTTAACATATAATTTAATTTTAAACATTTATAAAACCTTATATATTAACCTGATAATCTTTATCCCAGTTAATCATCATTACCGTATTCTAGGTCATTCAATTTAATGAATCTTATGGTAATGGATCCTATGGTAATTCATTAGTTGCTTACCGGTTATTCGTTATTAGCTATTTGATATCTCAATTTATATGTTTCTTGAATTCTTTTTTTTATGATTGAACGATTATAATATTTCAATTTTTTGGATAACTTTTTACACTTCAATACTTTTGCGCAATCATTATCACTGCTAAACTAGCTTCAATTAAAATTTAAATGATAATCATATCAATGATATTTCATACCTGACTATCTGGTGGCTCATCATTACAACCTGCTGGTCCCCAATAGCACTGACGACGCCATGTATCTTTTACTTCCCAACAACCTGAAGAATAAAATTGTCTAATTCCAATTTTATAATTTAAATTAAAAATTTACAAATCTAGGAATGAATTAAAGGGTGAAAATGAAGGTGAAACTTTTAAATTATCAAGCAAACTATATGGAATCTGATCTGAAGTTATTTTGAGTTTTTAGTTTTTAATATATATACATATATGTATGTACCTGCAACCTGACGTTTCGTATTGGCATTATCAAGTGGATCATAACTAAGTTTAATTGCTGGTTTATTCGAATCTACATTTCCAGATGGATCTGATAAATTCACCTTTGAAAGATCATAGATCCAATCAGCAATTACAATAGGACATTCCTATAATCAAAATCAATGAATTAAAAGATTTTGTTGGTTAAATTCGGAAAAAGTTGACAATGTATGAAATGGAAATTAAAATTTATTGGTTTATTCAACCAAAAAAGAAAAAAAGGAAAGGAATTTATGAACTTTCCTCTTCAAAGTATTACACTTGATGGTTCAGAAGGTAAGGTACGAAATTAAACTCAATAGACTAATAAAATCATACAAAGATGAAATATGACATGAAAAAAAAATTGCAAAACTGTACTAAAAATACATTTCAAATATGCTTTTGAAAAAGTGAATTTTAAATTTCAAATAGTTAAAATTTAAAAAAAAACTTGAAATGAAAAATTAGAATTAAAAAATATATTGTAATATTGAAATATTATTGAAATACTTTGAAATCTATTTTGAAATGGATAATTAGAATTTGATAAGAATTGAAGGAATGGAAATGGAAATTACCTGTTCATCATATGGATAATTAGTAAAATCAAATAAGCATGTTACATGAAAGCTAAATGATCCAGATGCCCAAACTTTACCATCATTATTTACTGATGCTGGTAAGCCACCCATATGCAAATACCAACTATTTCCATGTGCACTGAAATTCATTGATATTATTAACGAGTAAATGATAAATTATATTGTATAGTACTTTTAGCTAAATTAATTTTTATTAATTATTTTCGTTCCAAAATAACAATATATCAATGATAAAAATTATTTTCTGCCACAGTCTTTGAAAGGAAAAATTCATTTTTGATACTGAAAAACTTAATTTAATAATTTGAAATTCAATTTACTACTTAACATATTTTTTATTAATTGGAACTTAATGTTAAAATTTACTTACAATATGTTTTTAGATTACAATTCAATTTAATTTATCATAAACATTTGAAATTTTTGAAAAAATAAGATAAATTTTAATTGATACATACACTAAAACATTCGTACATTCGCATTCAGTAGAAATTAAAAAAAAGGAAAAAAAAGTTAAAATATGGAATTACTCTTACAAAAATTAAAGTTTGCTAATTTCTTTAAGAATTGAAAATTTATGCAACAAAATTTGCAATAACATTATAAAATAGTTAAATTATAAAAACTCTTAAAATTTGTTTGTAATAATTATTCACTAAAACATTTACTAATGATTATTAGCTAAAGCATTAATTAGTATAAAATGATATCGTAAATTTGGCATATATGATTATAATAAAATATGGGCAAGTTTTTAGATATTAAACAAAATTTGATTATAATATTATCAATAAAATATTTTATTTCATTTAAATGACATTAAAATTTGATTTTTTTAAGATGAAATTTGAGCAAAATTTTTAGTTATACAAATAAAATTTCATTATAGTATTATCAATAAAAATATTTTATTTCATTTAAATGACATTAAAATTTGATTTTTTTAAGATAAAATTTGAGCAAATTTTTAGTTGTCAAACAATTTCTTTAAAGAATTGGAATTTTTTTTTGTTGTTTTTTTTTTTCCTTTTGATTTAGTTATAGTTTTTTGTTCCTTTTATTTGTCATAAAAAAATTAAAATTTCATTATAATATT